TTCCTGCTAAGCGTGTGCTAACTGCAGTTACTCATTAAAAAAAGATCAACTGCTCCACTTCCTTTTCAAGATGGAAAATACTTACTTTCTTCCTGCATTCGTGCTAAAATTTGCACATCTGTAACATCGTTCAGCTTGTAATTAGACCCAATAGAGTCTTCATCCATCTCTGATGCACTTAATTCACTGTCCAGAGAGGACTGTGGACTTAGTGGAGGATTTCTATCTGCTGAACTTTTAAGATGACCTACAGAAAGAAAATAAAGTAGTAGGAAATGTTTTAAAAAAAGGGCACAAACGGCAAGCTATATTTCTTTTCCTAGTAAAATTACCACAAATCCAAAACCAGATTAGGACCAAGACCTTGAGTCTGACAGACCATTTAAAACATTTGATTGCAAACCCAGGCTGAAAATACAATTTACGTAAGCAGAGCTTAGCCCCTACCTTCTAAAAATGAGCGACTTTACAAAATCATCATAATGGTGGCAAAACAGTCTTGTCTACCTGTACCAAATTTTAACTGCTATGAAGTCTGCACAGCTCTTACAGAAAGAGCAACTGCATACCTGTTGCAGTTGTGGTCTCACTCTCGTCTCTGAACACTACTTTGTAAGACTAACTTTGACAATACCTTTCTTGACAGTAAGGACCTGCTAACCCAGTGAATACTGATCCAGCTTGGAATGCTTAAAATACAGTTTACCTGAAACTACTACCTGTTCTACATGCACACTTTTGCTAAACTATAACATATTCTGTCTGCTGCCTTCTGGCTGATATCCCATTGCCAGTTACATTTCATCTCTCCATCCTGCAGGCAGATACAGCACTGTAGCATGCAGAGCAGAGCTACACAGATTAAAACAAAACCTGGGTAATGGCTCCAGTGAACATCCTGCAGTGCAGGCTTCTCTTTACATGTCCCCAGTGAACTAGACACAGCTGGATTGTTAATGCAATGTTTTTTTCATCTTCCCTGCAAGCTAACTTGTGTTGAAGTATATATAATGCTGACTTCAAAGTAAAGTTCCAGGCATCAATTTTTCTGATGCAAAGGAAGTGTCTATGATGCAGAATAAAGGCAGAAACCACTGCCAGAAGTTAGTTTTTACACTGATGGCTGCAAAGACTCATGGAATACCTTTAATTAAAAAGCATGCTTCTTCCTTAGGTTGTATTTTCCACATCTCACAAGTACTGATGGATCTCTCACAAACTAAGTGTTTCAGTTAATAACTAATAGGGTATATGCAAAGACTTCACAGCTACCAACACCTAAACTTTGAACATCTACTACACAACTTAAATCCCAGTCAATTACAAGGCCAATTCTAAAACCTGCTTATGTATGCTGCGACTCCACAGAACTAACTCTACATGTTTTGGTCTAATTTGTAATATGCATCAGTTATTTTAGGGACATGGACGTCCAGAGAAAACATCTTAAATGTATCTCATGCCAGAAAGTCCGTAAAAAAGCCTTTACTAAAAAGCTTAAATATCACATGATGTGAACATCCAACATATGACTGACAAGTTTTTGGTGCCTTTCTTACTCTAGTACAATGCAAATGTAATCTACCTGAGCACACGAAGGAAGAAAGGCAGAGATCAGACACTCACACACTTACCTGAGGTACCAGGAGGTATGAGCTGTTTCACTAAAGCAGATTTCACTGGTGTTGAGGAAGGAGAATTGAAACCACTGCTGTAGGGGCTACTAGTATTTGGACTATAGGAGCCAGCGTAACTGACTGCACTGAAAGGGCTGCTGTACAAACTCTGTCTCTTCAGAGCTGTAGGAAAGAGGAGGAAAGTGACAATCTACACTTAAGGAGACAATGAAAAATAAATACAACACTATATATATTCAGTGTGGAAAGACAGTTATAGAGAGGATGAAAAGTTTATATTCCACCTTTCACTGCAAGTCTTAAATATTAGGCACTTATTTCAGCAATTAGTGTGTTCAATGAATACCAAGTATTCTTGGGGTTCCTCCAGTTTATTTTGAGAGTCAGAAAGAAAGTTTCCATTTTATTACAAAGCTCAGTTAACAAAACCAGTAATTACAAGTCAGTTAGATTCTGATTGATTCTGATGAGACAACACCTTTGACAGCACGTTCTTTTGGCCATTCACACAGAAATCTCAAAGTGTCTATTCCAAATGAATCTTTGTTTTCATGCCAAAATAAAAATTTACTTTTCATCTCTTGCTGAAAATGACAGTAAAAAACTCCTAAAATGTATGTCTGCATAACAATTTATTTTGTAGTTATTACACAGACAAGTATTTTAAAGTATGATTCACAAACTAGAAAACAATTGTATTACTGTATAACCTTCAAACTAGGTTCTTTGTACATATCCATAATGATACAAAATATTTGACCACAAAGATTTCTTTAGATGAAAGCAAGCATGCTTTTGTTACAGATAAAAAGTATGCTGTGGTACATAATGACAATTTACATGGTACAGCAGTTTTCATCTTGACTAATGTGAACTTCTACCTTCCTCAGCACTGTTTTTTCCCAGAAAAAAAAAAAAAAAAGCTGCAGTCAAACAATCTTTCTGGCCTCGAATTCTTGAAGTTTCTCCAATCAGGATTTCTGTAACTTAGGAAGACATTACTACTTTTATAATTAGAGATATGGTCTTCATTAGGGGTGTCAGACAAAATTAGTAAGTCAGGTAACTCATTTTAACATTAAAATGATACTATAGAAGATGAAACGTTAGCTCACACAAGGTTACACAGCTTTCAAGACATCAGAGGGAAGGGTTAATAATCCACAGTTTTAGTGTAAATTTTCTTCTATATCATTCAGAAACAGTATGCAGCATCTAATTTATTTCAGTCAACATTTGGTTATGTTGGTCCTGAAGCTCTCTTTTGCTCCAGAAAACAGGAACAGAAACAGAGCAGAAAACTCATGCTTAGGCAGTTCAGATCTTCTGTATTAATCAGGTGCAATTTTCCACCGCTAGAGACCTAATGTTTATTTCTGCTATTATTGACAATTTTTTTCTTGCAGTCCCTACAGTAATTCAATCCAATCATTAGTAAAATCTATCACTGAGACCAAACTTATCCAAATAGCAGTTAGTTTTGAACAAGCTCAATGTTTAACTGAAAAGTCAAACTCACTTGGCAGGGAAAACATGACCATATCTACACATACAGCCACACAACTCTCCTACCAGCTATACTGACCGTCCGTTTGCTTTCAAGTAACACTGCAACAAAAACTGCCTCAGTAAAAACTCCAATACCAAAGTTACTCTTTTCTAATTCTGTGCACCTATGTCTTAAGAATCCATCTCTTCCAGAAATTCTTCTGCCCAGTATTTCTCTGCTCCTGCTGTTGCTTTCTTGATGTGCTCTACCCCATGTGACTTTAGACCATTGTGTGGTGGAAGCCACAGTTTCCAGCTAAAATGAAATACACTCTTGCACTTTCCATCAGGGACCAGAGGCATGGTTAAGAAAGGTCTTTGCACCTGAGTATATCTAAGGTTCCCTCAAGTCTGAATGTGCTTCCAGTACTAAGCAGGACTTGCTCTGCAATTGTAAACCTGAACTAACTAACGAGGCCCTCTGCGCCTTGTGTTTTCAGTAACTGTCCACAGCAGCATGGAGCTGAAGGCCACTCTTCCCTCCTTTACTGGCATGCAATGGAAAAGATTACTTTATAAGAAGGAAGAGAAAAATGTTGAATGCAAGAGAGTGTTTCAGACTGAGAAGGAGCAAAAGGTATTAGATTACAACATAACAACAGGAACTGACAAAGTGAAGATAGTCAAGGCAAAAGAAAAACTCAGGACAGAAAGTAACAGTAGTATGAAAAGCCTTTTCCACAGACATGGGAACTGAAATTGATAAACTGAACCAGTAACTAGTAATAGGTTGAGCGCTTGGTCTGTGAGGTACAAGTACTATATAAAATACAAATCACAAGGTATTCCAGAAGTTGTAACCTTGTGTATGTTTCCTACCCCACAAGCAGCATCACCTGCTACCCTGTATCTGTAAGTAGCCCCCTTGTTCTAAAGGACAGTTTTCTTTTTTGTTACAAATTCACTGTTTCATGCAATCTGCACCAACCAACAGCATCAGTGCCTGCCTCTTCTACCACTAATATTTTTCTCTATTGGTACTGTAGATATAAAGCAGTGTTCTTAAAAGCATCACTGCCAGAGGCAGATTCTCAGGTCTATGGAAAAAGAAAAAAAAAAAAAAAACAAAACAGGTAAAGCTGCCTAGACCCAACATCTGAATAATGAAACTTTCAATTCTACCCTTTTCACAGGGAAGCTTCTGCCACTCTGCTTCAGCTATGACTGAGTTTTTAAAGATACTCTAGGGGTAACAGAATTTTTGATACTTCCAGAAGATTTCCACACAGTTCTGAAAAAAAAGTTAAACCCAGAACAGAATTGTTGATGCTTAACCCAATTGCTGTCCACTCTTCAATGCTCAGGAGTATTCAAACTCCCGAACTTGTATCATCATTCATAAATGCCTGTGATCTGGGTACTTTTCATTGTTTGGAATTTCAGTCTTTGCCCGTAGCAAGTTATGTATCACATTAACTGTTCAGGAAAACTGCTAAAAGCCATCTGTCAAGGCAACACACACAAAGCACAAGAAACAGAGGAAGATCAAAGGTGGCTTGTACTGAAGGCACTTTGACCATTATGCCCACAATATTTACAAGAATTAGAAATGGACCTCATGTGATCTACCAGCAATGCTTTCAAATTTTATTATGAATAATTTTAGTACAAACCAGAAGAAAGACTGAATTGTTCTCAAAAAGAATCCAATGAGTGGAAAAAAAAAAAATGTTGCAGTCAAACTCAGCATAAAGTTATGTATAACCATGTGAATGAGATGATAGTTTGGAACACTCCTGGAACTGTGTGTTCACATATTCTCAGCTCAAATCAAGCCATTCTGCTAATTCCTGAAGATAACAGTGAAAAAAAAAAGATCACGTAGCACAAGACTGCAAAAGGATGGAAATAGAGGGAGAGAACAGATTAATAGCAAGAAAGTTGTCTCGGCACAACTTTAAAAAATAAAGTAGCAAAAATAGGCTCTAACAAAGAAATGAGAATAAAGAAACCAGAAACCAGATGGACAGGGAATTCTAATCAGACCTTCAGCGTTTTGCTGCTGGTTCGACATCAAAAGGGCTGTGAATAAAAGGGTGGAGAACGTAGGCTTTCACACTCACAAAGCCAAATGCTCAGTCCTTCTCCGGTTTTGAATATAACCAACTAATCTGCACTAAGGAAGAATCACGAACTCTGAATTTATTAATCTTACTGTGACAAGATCTTAAGTTGCCAAGAATGGGAGAAACAGAAATCAATATTACTTCCCCAAAGTATTCAAGAACTTCAGCCTCCATTTCCTTAGATGAAATAAAATAGCTCATCTAGCAGAAAACTACGATTTGTAACATACTGACAAGCACCTAACAATTATGGCAGTTTAATACAGGGTTCTATTTTAAAATAAGAAAATCTCCATGGTAAGGGCATTTTTTTGTTCTGAAAACTTCTGCAACCAAACTTTAACTATGCAGGTAGTATAAGACTGAGAACCATAGACTCATGGTCTAATGGTTCCTTTCATTTTATTCATACAGTCCAGAAAATAAGTAGAATGAATAACTGTTTGCAAACTATAATGAAAATTTTAGACAGAAGTAACTGGTGGATCTAATTTTCTTCTCTCACAACTATCTATTGGCTAATTCTGAATATTTCAGAACAAGTATGCACAACCCAGTGGACTTAGTATGCAGGAACTCACCCGACATTGTCTGTTCCAGCCTGTGGATCAGCGACTTTTTAGCACATTCAACATCAGGACTTGGGTAATCCAATACCTGCCTGCACCAAACTAATGGACTGACACATTTCTGAACTGGAGTCAGTTTCTTCTTTGGGGACATATATAACCTGAAAAGGAGAAGGGAAAAAAAAATAAAAATTTATGACTACAGACAAAATGTGCAAGGCATGTAACAAAATACCGCTTCTACTTTTATAGTATATCTACAATATAATCCCAAAATCATAAAGAAAGCACAAGTTTTACCTTTTAATTAAGAATTTTTTATATGGTATAATACTGACAACATATGGCTATCCAAGGACTTTTGGCAGGAAGTGATGCCTACATTGCTACACTGGGATAGAATGATTGACATGCCAGAAAAAAAAAATCTTCACTTTTCACACACAGCAGGTATATGGACAATTTCACTACGTTACATAAGTATACAAGTCAGAATTAATCTTTTCAGATATAAGTAACATTCACCCAAAAGGAGGAAATAAAGCCCTACACAATATGCAAGTATTGTTTTCCTAAACACAAAGATGTAGCAAGTGATAAGCATCTTACCAGTCAAGGAATAGCACTAAGTGCACAGAACCTATCTACTATTTCAGTAGCCTCAAACAATAAACATTTTATTTTTATTTATAATTTCTATCCTAGCACCTGATCCTTTAGTTTTCCTTTGAACATGGAACAAAGGGACTATCTCTGTCCTAAGGGGTATCTAGTCACGCACTAAAAACAAGGAACAAGAGATAATGCACACAGAGCAGAGAGAATAAGATCATATTGTTCTGCAGGACATGCTGAGGCCCTTGCCCGTCAGCACCTCCATTGATTTTAACATCAGCATTCCATGACTGAGAAAAAAAAAAAAAAAAGCAGTATTCCAGTTTAAAGGCTTCAAGAATTTAGCTGAAAATTTCTCCTCCCTTAAACAGACTAAAGGAAAAGTCATAACCAAACATATGCCCAAAAATAGGGGTATTTTAGCCTTATCTTTGGACTACAACCAAGCTTGGAGATGTACTTCAGCAAAAGACAACAGTGAACTGCAAGATCTACCGCTCTGTCTAGACCTTACACAGGTGCAGAAATGGTTAAACTAGTGTTTTTTCTAGGAGTAATGACAGGCTTCATGCTCCCAGAGAATACAGTTGTATGCCACATGAACTCAGGAATATTTGACAGCCTCATAAGCCATGCTTCCATACAAAACAGAGCAAGACGTCTTGTTTCCTTTATTCTGACCACATCAGCAACACAAAAGTTATTTCCCACAGCTCTATTACAAGATTAGTAGCTGATTTTTCCTCTAATTCTAGAGCTGGAACTCTGTTTTATAAACAGCTGTAAAAGTTTATTTAATCACTCCCCTTACGATCATTTCTCCCAAAAGCTTCCCAAGAACTATGCTTCTAAAAGTACCACTAATATCTCACCCAAAACACTTACCACTTTGTTTAGAGCATGTTCTGAAACACTCTTCCCTCATAAACACTGAGATTAGCTACGTTTGCAAAGGCAGGAGAGAGGATTTTTATTAGCTACCAGGTTTTCAAACACAAATGAAGTTGTTTGTAACGATGCAAACAGCCACAGCCACATAATACAGCTCATGGCTTACACTAGTGGCTAGTATGAGTGGCTACACTCATGGCTAGTATCGCACTGGTCATTAAAATTGATTTTGTAGAAATCCCTTCAATCTACACAGCCACTCTGACCACAAGGAAAGCTAAGAGCCCATCACATTTAGATCCCCAAAGATTCTTAGAAAGCACAGGAATAACTCAATTTTTACAGTTCTATGTAAACAGTTGCACAAATTACTGTATTTTCCATGATTATCTGCATATCATTAAAAGTAATGTTCAGCATTTACCAGCTCGCTAGCACTTTGAATTTACTGTCTTTTTAGCATTGATTTGTGTGTACTATTTTCTGTCCTAAGGTATGTTTACGCAATACAAAGAAGTGCCAGGGCCAACAAGGCCAACTTTGGTGCTGCATGGGCTGCTCACTCCTGAGTCTCTGGATAGCTGACGTGCCTTGCTGTGTTCGAAAAGCTCCACACACATCTGAAGTGTTTACCATAGTAATACCCAGTATAACACACAAGAAATTAAAGTGCACGTCCTCTTTGAAAGACACACAAAAGGGATATCTTCAACAAACCTACAAGATTATCACTATCAAAATGGTACCTGGTATTTTAAGCTCCAACACATTCTTTTCTTCAGTCTCCAATTGCTGTGCTTGCTTCACAGGTATTTACTGAAACAGTGCAGCCTCACCCAGCTCCCCCTTCTCCACCTTCCTTTCTAACCAAACATACATTGCAGATTGTCCCACCTCTTTCCAGTCAACTGTTTCTCTTTTCACAGGCTGTTTCGCACCTTACATTTCAGGAACAGACAGACCTTTAAGAGTATATGTATTTCATGCAGCTCCACTACCTCCTGACAAACACCCGTGCATCGCTGCAGTAACACAACGGCTCTTTCAGGACAGTTTCCTGCACATCGTGCAATTACAAAAAGTCTCTCTATTATAAATCAGTGACCTCAATTTCCCATCTGATAAAGAACAGGCAATCTCAAATTTTAAACTGACTTAATTCTACTTGCTTTGCCTGACTTGGTTTAAAATAAGTAAGACCAAGGGCAAGGCTAAGAATCACAGCGATGCTTCTACTGCTTCTTCCTCTCTTTCCAACAGCAGGAAAAAATAAGAACAGAAAGGAGACTATGAAGCATGTACAAAAATTCATACAGCTAAGTGATATTCCTTGTCAAACTACTGTTTAACCCAAAAGATAACGGTCCTTCTTAGTTGAAGAGCTTTCCAGAAGATATTCATTCCCATTTGCACCTGTTAATGCATTCTACAGCAACACATCAGCACTGGTTGGCAGCACAGCCCCTTCAGGACTGAAGATGACCAATATGACTTCATACATCTTTAAGCACTGCTAATCACTTTGCAAAACAGGAAGCTGAAAACAATAAAGGAAGCTGACAGCTTACAGTTATCACCCCTACTACAAAAGTTAACACACCAAAAGCCTGCACTCCAATTTTTTCATGAGAGAGTAAAGGCTCTGCTATTCAGTGGCACCAGATCAAGTAAAAGAAAACTATATAAAAAGCAGCTCAAGAGCTTTGACCTATTTTGAAACAGCACAAAGCGATACTCCCTTCCTTCAGCTACCACTAGTCAGCTATGCCACAGCAGCAGTGATCTAAATGTTTAAGCAGCCACAGGCTCTACTGGTTAGTTCCAGGAAGACACAGCAAAAGAAAGGCAGTTTTTGCAGAAAGACTACTGTCACCACAAGCTCATACGATGTCAGCCCAACGGGTGCATAGCTGAGTCTGAAAAGGCTCTGAAGAAAGAAGACGCGACATTGAGGTAGGAATGGAGTATCTGCACAGGGATTACTTCATCTGAGAGACACCTCCCCACCATTAAAATACAAGAGGCTAGCTGCCACAAGTATGAACCCAAAAGCCAATCAGGAAGAAATGGAAGAGTCGTTGTATCAAAATCCTTCTACCTCTCAGTAAAAAAGAGAATGAAAAACAAGCAGATGAATATGAAGTCACGTATCTGAATTAGAAAGAACATGGCAAGTGGCAGGAACATGAGCCTGTTTATTTTCTCTCTTTATGTTTATTTTCCCAAACATAGTTGTTTATTTTAGCTACATTGAGAGAAAACTAGTAGGTACAATAGAGGCAATTAAACAAGAGAGCAGACAAAACACATTGCTGGCAAAAGCAGGATCAAGGAAGCAACCTGAAGAGATGTGAAGTAAAAAAAAAAAAAAAAAATAAAAATTTAAAAACTAAGGACGTATAAGTAAGAAACTCCCCTAAGATACAGGGGGGAAATTCCACAGCAAAACACTACTAAAAAGAAATAAATCAGGAGACAACAATACTAGACAGTCTCAGAAATAGACAACTTAGAACAACAATGTCAATCTAAACTCTTTTAGATCCATTTTCAGCAGATCCTATTTGGAGCAATTTAAGTATGGTAAAATTTAAGATGTATTTTAAATCAACAGCTACAGGTAAAGATCTTAAGGGAATCTGATCGTACAGAAAAAAACAAAACCTGAGTGACATGCCTGCACATATTTGGCCCCCAGATTTCCTCCATCCCCACCCTTGCAAAGTTCCTATCCTGCAGTTGTAACTGACTGAGGCATATCGTTCAGCCTGTAATTACTTATTTGTTGGTGTACTTAACTGAAGGCTTCTAGTTCTCAGATATAAGTTACAGCAAAACTCCAGGTCTCTCAAAGTAAGGAGATGAATACTACAAAAATGGTTTGACAGCCTCATCAAATCTCCATATCAAAGCAGCACATCTCAGCTACAAGATGAAATTTTCAAATAGAATTGGGAGGATTCAGAGAGGTTGCACAGTGCAACTGGGAACACAGCTACCTTCCTGCCACCAACAATTAAAGATAGTTAGCTATGCTCTGGAGAGTTGCTGCAAATTACAGCCATTATTCATTTCCTCATCTCAAAAGAACATGCTGATGTGTGAATGGGATGTGGGATGTTGTAGAACAGGAAAAGAGGACTTCAAAAGTTTGGAAGACTCCTGTAACATCATCATATAGCTTCCCCAGAACTGTCTCTCAAACTCTCTATAGCTGGCCACTGTTTGAGAAGCTTTTCAGAAGAAATTTTTAGAGCAGATATATGCTCTAATGCGGTATTTTTGATACTTGCACAGAATAGAGAAAAGTTGAGAATTTCTGTGTCCCACTAAATGTCTTCCAAAACATAAGTCTGCTTAATTATTAGGCTTGAGAGCTCTACCAACACCAACAAAAAGTAGAAATATAAATCATGCCTAAACAACGCATGACTATAAG